GCCCGGGCTGGAGTGCAGTGGCCGGATCTCAGCTCACAGCAAGCTCCGCCTCCTGGGTTCACGCCATTCTCCTGCCTCAGCCTCTGAAGTAGCTGGGACTACAGGGGCCCGCCACCTCGCCCGGCTAGCTTTTTGTATTTTTTAGTAGAGACGGGGTTTCACCGTGTTCGCCAGGATGGTCTCAATCTCCTGACCTCGTGATCCGCCCGTCTCGGCCTCCCAAAGTGCTGGGATTACAGGCTTGAGCCACGGCGCCCGGCCTTGGTGGATTTCTTATATACAAGATCACGTCATCTTTAGTAGATAGAGCTTTACTACTTCCTTTCAAATCTGGACGCTTTTCATTGATTTTTCTTCTCTAATCTCCCTGGCTAGAACCTGTAGTACGTTGTTGACTAAAAATGGCAAAAGCAGACTTTCTTGTGTTCCTCCTGATCATAGAGAAAAGCCATCAGTCTTTGACCATTAAATGTAATGTTAACTGCAGGTTTTACATAAGTGCCTTTTATCCGTTTGAAGACATTCCCTTCTCTTCATTAAGTGTTTTTATTACTAAAAAAAAAGTTGGATTTTTGTTTTATAAATGTATTCTGCATCTATTGAGATGAACGTGTGTTTTGATCCATTATTCTGCTGATATGGCTTATTACACTGATCGATTTTTGGATGCCACAGTCATTACTCTGGCACATGGCAGGAGTGGTAGCCTTTGGTCTTCTCAGCTTTTCTACTGTACACAGAATATATGTTTACCCTAGAAAGCAAGCTGCAGTGAAGGCAATTAGGACCCCTGCTTCCGGGCCTGTTATACCTAGTGCATAGTCTCCACCCATGAGTGGGAGCTTGGTGGAGGAAGGCAGCCTCCTGCCTCTTGGCCACACTTATCTGGAATTTGGCCTTAAACTTGGAGTTGGAGTGGATGAGAAATGCTTGCATCCTTTGCCTTCTTGTGAGACACCTTATCCCTTGTTTGAGAGAAGAAGGGAGAGTGAGCCCCATCTTCTTGACCACATCCACCCACAGTGGAGCTTCTATCAAGCTGAGCTAGGTGTGGGGCGGGAAGGAGCAGGTTGCAGCTCAAATGCCACACACTCTCTCTGTTCTTACCAAGTTGTGATATATTTTATTGAATTGTTTTTTCGTTTTTTATATACCTTTAAGATAATTTCCAGAAACTTTTAAGTTTTCTTAGAAATCATTTTCTCCAACGATGGCTGTTTCAGTGGGGAGTGTGTCCACAGAAGTAGAACTCCCCTTCATGTACTTTTTAAACTCTAGGGGTGGTAACGATGTTACACTATTGCGAGCCCTGGGGTGCTATCCTTTGTAGTTTTCCAATATCTTTGTAAATAGCCATTTTATTAAATTTTCCTCAAATTGCCCAATCTGAGATATGGTTTGGCTCTGTGTCCCCACCCAAATCTCATCTCGAATTGTAATCCCCATGTGTCAAGGGAGGGAGGTGATTGGATCATGAGGGCGGTTGCCCCCTGCTATTCTCCTATTCTCGTGATAGTGAGTTCTTATGAGATCTGACAGTTTTTTGGTGTTTTTTGTTTTTGTTTTTGTTTTGTTTTGTTTTTTTTGATGGAGTCTCACTCTGTCGCCCAGGCTGGAGTGCAGTGGCGTGATCTCGGCTCACTGCAACCTCCACCTCCCAGGTTCCAGGGGTTCTCCTGCCTCAGCCTCCTGAGTAGCTGGGACTACAGGTGCCTGCCACCATGCCCGGCTAATTTTTTGTATTTTTAGTAGAGATGGGGTTTCATCGTGTTAGCCAGGATAGTCTCAATCTCCTGACCTCATGATCCACCCATCTCAGCCTCCCAAAGTGCTGGGATTACAGGCGTGAGCCACCGCACCTGGCCAAGATCTGACAGTTTTATAAGTGTTTGAGAATTCCTCCTTTGCTCTTCTCTCACCTGCCTCCATGTAAGATGTACCTGATTCCCCTTCTGCCATGATTGTAAGTTTCCTGAGGCCTCCTCAGCTGTGCAGAACTGTGAGTCAATCAAATGTCTTTCCTGTATAAATGATCCACTTTTGGGTATTTCTTTATAACGGTGTGAAAACAGATGAATACACTAAGCATTCCATGTTTCTTGCTGCAATCCTGACTGACACAATGGGAGTGTTCTGAGCACAGAGGTGACCAGGGCTCATCCTCCGTTCTCCTCTCCTATGCTTTGTCCCACACTGGCCGACTTATCCACACCCCAGAGCTTCAAGAGCAGGTGCATGGGCCCAAGAGCCCCAGGAGGGAAGATGGGCCACTTGATAAATGCTTGCTGTGGTTTCTTCATGACATGAATCAGACAGATCATGTAGCCGTAGACCCAGCTATGGAAACTGTGATCCCGAAGCAAATGGGCAACCAGTGTGAAACTGGGGGGAGCACACCTGAGGCCCTGTGACATCACTTCTTCAGGGACTTTATTCATAATAAATGACTCTATAGTCCCCAGGAGCAAATGGAGCAGAAAACTTTGAAAGGGTAGTAAATAGGACCAAAAAACATCAAATTTCAGAGTTTTGAGTTAGCCATTGTGCTAGTCCATTTTTGTATTACTATAAAGAAATACCTGAGACTGGGTAATTTATGGAGAAAACAGGTCTACTTTGGCTCATGATTCTGTTGGCTGTACAGGAGGCATAGTGCTGGCTTTTGCTTCTGGTGACGCTTCAGTAAATTTCCAATTATGGTGGAAGGTGAAGGGGGAGCAGACATGTCGCATGGCAAGACAGGGAACAAGACGGAGGGAGGAGATTTCGTGTTCCTTTAAACAACCAGGTGTCATATGAACTGCCAGAGGGAAAACTCACTCATCACCAAGTGGATGGCACTAAGCCATTCGTGAGAGATCCATCCCCATGATCCAATCGCCTCCCACGAGGCCCCCCTCCAACACTGGGGATCACATTTCAACACGAGACGTGGAGGGCACAAACGCCCAAACTGTGTCAGCCATCCTGGTACAATTTCCAGCCTCCTCCATCACTGTGCTTCTCCCAGAGAAGAGTTATGGAAAAAGGGTCCGCCTGCACAAGGGGAAGACCAGGGGCAGTAACAGGTCTGAGACCCCCATCCTCCAGCTTTCGGAGTGCACGCTTCCCTTCAGCATGCTGACCCCATCCCTCATTGCAAGAGCAGAGAGAAACGCAGTCCTTGCCACTACAGCGCCAGCATCTCCAGGAACAGAGGGTCCCTGTGGGTGCCTCTCATTGACTTTCTTGTTTCTTCCCAGTCTCGACCCCTCTTCTGAGTCACACCTCTGGAGATGACAGCCTTTTACGCCACACTGCCCTTTCCTGTACCCTTTCACTTCTCCCATTTACTGTCAAAAGTCTGGGGGGAAAGGTGGCGCCAGCACAGTACAGTGACAACTTAAAACTGAATGTCAACCATCACAGCCCTGAAGACGCTTCAGTGCTTCACTGCCACTTGGAGTTCCCGGTGTCCAGACCAGGGTCTCACCTTAGACCCCAACTGCTCCCAGAGACTCCTCTCTGCCCCACAAAGACTCTCTTCCTACCCTTTCTGGCACCCAGGCTCCAACTCCCAAATTCCCGTACTGGTCTTCTAAAGAACAGCTTGGTCCTTTAAGTGACACCCCATCTCCACCTCTAACCTGTGATATGTATCAAAAGCCTCACCGGGATTTTCTATTCAGCGAAGAGCCACCTTTGTAGGTTTCCACCTCTTACAGGCCCAAAGCACCTGCCAAAGCTTTCACATGATAGTTTTCCCTTTAAATGATCAAATTGCCAAGCAGCGTTTCTACTGAATATTTCTTTGCCCCAAAAGGGTTAGAGACCATATTACAAGCTTCAAAATCCTGCTCTTCATAGTTCTGTCAAATGATCTGACAATCATACTACCCTGAGTCCTTCCTTCCTTGCAGCCATGGATGAAACTCCGTTGCTTTATTCCTCCAAGATCTCTCTAGTTCTGCTAACTGCTTATGTGCCCTTCTATTTAATGTTGGCAGTTCCATGAGGAACCCTGTAGTGTTTTGTTTTTTCTTTACATTCCATTCAGGGAATTACTAAACAATCATTTCCACACAGAGATGTTGTGGATTACACAAAAATAATCAAAGATGGCTGTTTCTGTCTTGAAATGCTTAATAATTTTATCTGTAAACTTGTGGTTTGTAAGTGAGGTCCACTAAGACAATGGAGCATGAGCCAGGGAAACAGGCCTCTACATGTGGCCACTGATGTTCCATACAGCATTCACAATGCACCATGCACACTGAATTCCCTGTGGACCCCTGATGTTGCAAGGCCAGCAAGACTCAAAGTGAGCACAAGGTACTCGTGCTGTTTCTACAACTGAGTGAGCTGGGTGCTGAGCCCTGAAAGGCCACACTTTTCCCCTTAGAGCCTAAACTTGTTTCGAAGGCAGAAAGAAGGCAATGATGTCTTAAGAAACATGAAGGAACCATATTGTGTTAGTCAGGGTTCTCTAGAGGGACAGAACTAATAGGATATATATCTATATCTATCTATCTATCTATCTATCTATCTATCTATCTATCTATCTATCCATCCATCCATCTATCTATCTATGTATCTATCTATCTATCAAGAGAAAGAGAGGAGTTTATTAAGTATTAACTCACATGATCACAAGTCCCACAATAGGCTGTCTTCAAGCTGAGGAGCAAGGAGAGCCAGTCCGAGTCCCAAACTGAAGAACTTGGAGTCCAGTGTTCCAGGGCAGGAAGCACCCAGCACGGGAGAAAGATGTAGGCTGGGAGGTTGGGAGGGTAGGCCAGTCACTCTTTTCGCATTTTTCAGCCTGCTTTATATTTCTAGCTGCGCTGGTATCTGATTAGATGGTGACCATCTAGATTAACAGTGGATCTGCCTTTCCCAGCCCACTGACTCAAATGTCGATCTCCTTTGGCAACACCCTCACGGACACACCCAGGATCAACATTTTGCATCCTTCAATCCAATCAAGTTGACGCTCAGTATTAACCATCACACATATCATATCTTTTCTTATTCGTGCACTTCTTTATTTTTAAACACCTGATTATGCCAAAAGGCCAGTCCATGGTCCTTTTGCCTTTCAGTCCTTCCTTACTCAGGAGTGAGTCCCAGGTCGAGAGTGGAGGTAGAATTCGTGCATATAAAGTGCGATGAAAACAGGTAAGTTCACTTTGTGCAGCGTGGTTCTGGTAAAAACAAAATACATACGCATGTATAAGCTATGAAGTACAAATTGTATCATTTCTGTGATTCCACATATGAGTTCAGTGCACTTATATTAGTATTTAAAACTGGCATTGCACAACGTAAAGATGAATGGTAAACTTCATGCTAACAATTTAAATCTAAATTTTTCTTGGAATGATATTAAATAACCCATAAGAACACTATGAAAAGAGAGAAACTGAGAGGAAAGAGAAAGTTTTATATTTTATGACCTTAAAGTCACTTTCCTTCTGTTTTTTGAATAAGGAAGCTCTGCACTTTTTCTCTGAGACCCACAAATTATGCAGCCAGCCTTGCAGCAGGGAACAATCAAAGCCTCTTTCCTGGGGGTCTAGTGAGGGATGTATAAAACAAGTATGTTAATAAATAATATGCAATATATAATGTTCGCTAACAATCAGTGCTGTGCGAAACTAAAACTGAAGAGGCCAGGATGGCTACAGCAAGCCGGGGGAGAGCTGAGAATTAGCCGTAAATTCTGAGCGACGGGAAGGGCCCTGGATTTTAGGGCGTTGTGCATAAGAGTAACCAGATCTGCTCTACGTTTCAGGAAAGAAAAAAAAATTCCCTCTGGCTGCGGTTCGGAGAATAGCCCGGAAGGAGGCAGGGGTCCCGGCTGCAGAAGCGTGGTTCCGGAGTGGGGGGTGTGCGGGGCGGGCCCGGGCGGGAGACGCTACCCAACAAGCAGGTTTGGGGAGACTCGAACCTTACATTCCGAGTTTTTAAGCTTGTCTCCTCAAAGCGGGGAACTCACGAACGTTTCGTGAGCGCCTACGGTATGCAGGGCACGGAGCGGAGCCCTAGGGTCGCCGACTTGACCAGGACAGCCGAGCAGCTGCAGGATCCGTCGTGTTCCCCAGCAATTTTAATATTTAAAAATGCGCTACTGTTGCTGTTGTTTTCTATATATTGGATGTCTTCGTGAAGAACCCTCAAAAGTGCAACGAACTCCTCCCTGCCAGGGGGCGGCCGTGCGCTCTGAGCACAGCTTCCAGCCAAGCCGGCCAGGTCCTCCAGGGCACCGAGAGAGCCGGCCAGAACGGCGGCGCCCTATCCCGGCCGCGGCAATGTCTGACGGCGCCCCGGAACTGACGATCTGGTACGCAGGGGCGCTCGGCGGCAACGGCGGCTTTAAACGTCATCGCGGGCGCGACGCCCGAGGGACGGTCTGGGGTTTGGCTGTCCGGAAGGTGCGGCGGCGAGACCGGCCGGGAAGATGCCAGTGGCGGTGATGGCGGAAAGTGCCTTCAGTTTCAAAAAGTTGCTGGATCAGTGCGAGAACCAGGAGCTCGAGGTAGCCCTTTGCGTTCCCTGGGAGAAACTGCGGAGTAGTCTTAGGCCCCGGGGCGGCACCAGTTTCCAGGGTAACGGGGTCTGAGGCTCGCGGGCTTTGGGAGCTCGCGGGGCGGGCGCGGGAGGTGGACGTGTGGAGCCCTGACCGTCGCGGCCTGCTGCGACCAGGCCCGGTCTCCCCTAAGTCACCGGGACCTTTTTGTTATATGTCTTCAGCTTGTGATCCCGAAAACCCTGTGAATCTTTGCTCCAGCACCTATCGATAAGCTCATATTAATTAGACATCTTTCATTCCCAGTATCGGGTTGAGAGAGAGTAGTAATGTGGATTTTATTAAAGATCTTGGTATATACACACACACACCAAGAAAGATGTGACCATTGTAACCTTTTCTTAACTCAGAGCCTTTCTCGTAATGTTGTCAAGTAAGCTTGCCATTTTGTCTTTAGTAAGACAAGTGAAAGTTATGCAGCTGTTAAAGTTAACGTTTTTTTTAGACACTTAAAAGCGTTTATATCATTAGTTTTAAAATTAACTAAAGGAGACAACATCTAGAAGAAGCAGCTCACTAATAGACAATAGACACTTCCCAATTGAGTTAAAATTGAAAGAATTGTCTTTGCAACGCAGCTGTGGTGATTTTCTGTCTCTTATTCAGGACGCTTGATGTAATGGGCAGAATCAGAATGCTTCAGGAATCTGTCGAAATTGTTTCTTATACTAGTAAGATCATTTAAATGGGAATTTGAGAACTGGGGAAGGGGATCCTCTTACATATTCTTGAATGTATAGAGAAACTGAGGCCCAAAGGGAGATAAATCAAAGCTGATGACGAATATAAACTTAATACTTAGGATTTTCGTGTTTAATACTTATCTAAGCTGTTTCTAAATCTATACTAGGACTATAAGATTATTTATAATCTTAGACTAAAAAGGCTTACTTTTTAATTAGCATTTATAAAATATTATTTCAAAAATGAAAGTTAAAGGGTAAATGAGGTTTTTTAAATTTTGTGTTGTTTTGTTTTGTTTTCATTTTTGGCCTTCTAGGCCCCTGGAGGAATTGCTACACCCCCAGTGTATGGTCAGCTTCTAGCTTTATATTTGCTCCATAATGACATGTAAGTACGTTTAACCTAAAGCCAAGAGCAGCAGGTTTCTCAAAAGTTACATGGAAATATTTCTGCCCTGAAGTAGCACCACCAAACATAGGCACAACGAGCTACCTCTTTTATTATAATAACTATTACATCTATTTCCTATTGAATCATAGCTTAATGAATTATGATTAGGTCGTCATTGTCTTATATATACTTTCTAGAAAACATTTCAATTTATTATGAGAAACTATGTCAGTAAATTCATTTAATCTTTGTCTTTTTAAAATACTTTTATGATCTTTATTTACTTCATATTAATAAAACAAAAGAAGTGGAAAGAGAAGATTGCAGCCAAGAGATTCATTACAAACATGTATGAGATTTGAAAGTTTTTTTAAATTTTTAATTATTCCTATTTCACGTTCACATGGAAAAGTCAGAAAGCATAACTATGCTAGGCCAGGCGTGGTGACACACACCTGTAATCCCAGCACTCTGGGAGACCGAGGCAAGTGGATGGCTTGAGTCCAGGAGTTTGAGACCAACCTGGGGATTATAGTGAAACCCTATCTGCTCTAAAAATACAAAAAATTAGCTGGATGTGGTTGCGCATGCCTCTAATCCCAGCTACCCAGGAGGCTGAGGTGGGGAGAATTACCAGAGCCCAGAAAGTCGAGGCTGCAGTGAGCCGATATTGCGCCACTGCACTGCAGCCTGGGCAGCCAGAGTGAGACCCTGTCTCAAAAAGAAAGCCTAACTGTGCAAAAAAAAAAAAAAAAAAAAAAATCTCCTATAGTTCTCCTGTAGACTCACTGATCATTCCTGATAAAATTTTATTTTAAATTGTTCCAAAACCTTTCTTTTATATCTTTTTAAAAACTAAATTGAAATTTTTATTACACATGTACGTTTGGTTTTTTATTTTTTGTAAAACTATCATTATATGTTTGTCATAGTTCAAGCCTCCAAACCCATACAAACTCCTGCCTCAGAAGCTCTGTACCCACTGGTAGGAGGGACTGTGACAGGGAGAGAAGTGTTGTGTACCAGGCTTATTGTCAGGGAATGCTGGAGCCTTCATAGTACATAAATTTGTTTACTTTTGTATCCGAATACATCATTTGGGCCGTTCTATACGTCCTTGTGTTTTTAGTGTGCTGTTGCCTTAATTTAGGATATGGATTATTATTTTTAAAAAGTTCAGTAGAAATGGCAGAATATTACTTTGGTAAAAATATTTCATGTCCTTTTTATCTGGAAAACTACTATTGTTTCCCCAAAACAAATTCATATAACACTAAATTTTACTTTGTGTTATGGAAAGTATACTTCTGAATGTTTTCCTTGGGACCTGATAGTTTTTAACATTTACGGAGATGATTATGTTTTTAATTGATGATTATTCTTTGTGGTGGCGTAAATTAGGAATAATGCAAGATATCTTTGGAAAAGAATACCACCTGCTATAAAATCTGTAAGTATCCTTTAAACCTGCCTTACTGCTTTAATGTAATGACATTCCCTTAAATGGCAACCTTTTATAAGTTTCTGTTTTCTGTCTGACGTCCTAGAAATAGTCATCAAACTAGTATTAAGGTTTCAAAATAAATCTTCAGAGTCCTCTAGTCAGAAATTTGAATTTTGCTGGGATGATGTAGAATTTGTGCCCAGTTCCTACTGATTAGATTTCTTGAGACAATTCTATGTGCAGCTTCCCTAGTTAAACAGCTGAGCCAGTTTAGATGAAGGAAGGTCCTGGAGGTGGCGGAAGCAGCCGAGGTGATTTTCAACCGGTTTATGTTGCTTCCTGTAATGGTACTTATTTTGAAACTGCCATTGTTTACAAGAATATTCTAAGAATGATTCACAGCAATAAGATTATTTTTGCTAATTAAGATTTTAAATTTCTTATTTTGGATGGGAGATTAGAAGAAATAGCCTGTGAAAAGGTTCTTCCAAAGTGGAATGAAGTAAAATTTTAATGTCAGATGATTCCATGTGTCTAACATGAGTGTAAAGTGAAATTTTTAGCATTCTCAGGATATTACCAAGAATTCACTCAACTTTTGTTCATTGTCGATATTCATCAAGAGATCAGATTAGTATTTTTACTTTTTTTTTGTTCCTCACACATTCTGTTAAGTAAGATTGGAGTATTCCTCAACTTCTTTGGCTAAATAAAGAACAACTATAAATTATGCACTTAAGTTTCAATGATATTAGTGGAAGCTCTATCCTTAGGCTACAATGTGTGACATCTTAGGTTGACAGTCTCTATTAACCATTTTGCTATTACTTTTGACCTAAATATCTATACATAATATATCTATGAAATACAAAGACAGCATCTTTAAAAACAATGCTTAAGCTAATTAGTCCCCAGGCTTAATTCTGAAATGGTTTTGGACTACTTTCTCATGCCTTAATTTGCTGTTGTAATTAAAAATGTGTATCAGGCCTACAGATAAATTTTACCTTACTGCTCATAGTGTTTGAAAACCTTTTTGATAGTGATTGGGCTGAAAAAGTAATTGCATCTTTTAAAATAAATGTTTTAATGATGTAACTAATAAGTTTTTATATCATTTCTGGTATTTTGTTTTAAGATACAATCATTGGTACATTTACAGAGTGAATACCCTCTAAGGCAATAATATTTATTGCAGGCAAATTCTGAACTTGGGGGAATTTGGTCAGTAGGACAAAGAATCTGGCAGAGAGATTTCCCTGGGATCTATACAACCATCAACGCTCACCAGTGGTCTGAGACGGTCCAGCCAATTATGGAAGCACTTAGAGGTAGTGTTTCTTTGTGATTAAAAATGAAATTAGATGAGACTTGGTCCCTAAGTGCTGCAGTGTTGAAGTAATAAATCAGTGGTGTGTGTTTAAGTAGATATTTTTGATAGGTGAAAAGAGCAGTTTTCAAAATTTTTCAGATTTGCCCTAATCATGCTTCTTCATTTTTTGTTGCTTGAGATTACATTGGCTCCTGTGCCTTTGTTGTTTCTTAATTCTAGATGGAAATTGCTCATCAGTTTTAAGTTTTTTTTTTTTTTGCTGTTAAAATGAGATGTTGTAGTATTCTAACAAGTTTAAGGTATGGGTTTGTAGAGATGTGAAAATAGAGACTGCTCTTTGAATTATGTCAGCCTCAGCCTTTGATAGGTGTTGTCTTAAGCTTCTGGATTTTGTAACTAATCAGTTTAATACATAGATGCTCAAATGCATTTTTAATTGCTTTGAAAGATTACAAGCCTGGTGTGACAGAGCACTGATCCCACAATAAAATCTCATTCCCTGCCTCTCTACGTTCTCCCACCCTTAACATTTGCCCCCAGTCGTCCTGGTTCACTCTTTATAAAATTGTATAATCTGGTTTTACGTTGTTGTATACTCTTATTTCTTACTGT